GGAGATGGGGCTGAGGAACTGACTGGTTCTTTAAGAGGAGGCGGGAGAGGGAGGCTGGGAGGGGACACTGGAGGACAGGAGCTGGATGGAACCAGCGGAGACGTAGGAGAACAGGGTAATGCCTCCCCAAACCAGTCTATTAAATCCACTTTGAAACAGTCCATTAGTTCCTCAATGTAGTCCAGTGACCCTCAGCGGCGGGAGTGTGGGCAGGGCTTCCCTCTAAGCCCTCGATCTCCACCAGCACTCCCTCGGGGATGGGAGATGTTGCTGGCTCACCTGGTCAGAACGGTCTTGAGGCTCATGCTCCTGGGCGACGATCGGCTCAGTCGTGGTTTTGCACGCTGGCTCTCGTGTCGCGGTGGGCTCAGGCTCTTGCTCCGTGCAGCGGGATGACGGCTGGCTGGTCTCTGGTTCGTGAGTGGGGCTGGAGATGTCCTCCTTGGCGGGGCAGACGGAGAAATACAGTCCATTTCTCTCCAGCACCCACTCCACGAAAGCGGCGAAATCCTCCTTGGGACCGTTCGCTGGTAGGCGTGCCTTACACCGCTCACTCAGGCTGGTGTGATAGAATATGCAGAGCGTGCGATCTGGGAAATGTGTAAGGCAAGCCAGATCTACAAAGTCCCTGGTATGGTCCTCCAGCGAATGGTCCTGTTGCGCCAGGCAAAAGAGTTGAACGGCTGGGATTGCCATTCCGGAAGAGGGGAGAAACAAAACCAAAAAAGAAAGAAAAACGCCGCCAATATTACTCACTTTGAAGGTCTGCTATTCTGTTACGTAATGGCTATGGAGGTGGAACGAGGAGACACAGGCGTAAACTCAAAATACAGTCTTTTAATCTTTGCTTCGGGGAAATACAGGGAAGGCAGACACTCACGTAGCACATAGGGGAAACGACTCAATAGCAGACAAAGGAATATTGGAGTCACCAAGGCTTCAGGTGTGTGCATGCAGGGTTTATCTGGATCAAAAAAAAGAGAAAAAGAAAAAGAATTTAGGTGTAATGGCAGATGACTGACATTTTCCAGCAATCAATAAATCTAAACTTGGTTTATTTCTAAATTAAAATGACAGTTACTGACTTAACAATAGCCTGAGCATGTCATAATTTAATGAAGGATTTGCATTTATATTTAATAATACTTATGCTGCTCCATGTGATTAAAAAGTCAGTGTCTGTGTATCTTTTCTGTGCAAAGATGGCCTTAGTCATTGAATGCTTCATTTGTTAGATTTTTTTGTGGATGTCCCAAACTTTTTAATACACCACGGAGGCAGCATAAACGTACTGTAGTTACACAGGAATCACAATCACTGGAAACTTTAAAGTTGATTATTGATTCTCCTGCACAGCTGACATTGCATCTTTACCTCAGAGACCCCTTAAAATCCCTCAGCATCAACATAGGTCCTCCCCATTTTAAGTGCTTTAAACTTTAAACAACAAGCCCACAAAAGACTCAAACACACACACACAAAAAGCTTTTCTATGTTTTTCTTTCTAAGCATTTTTGAGCAAGGTGTATAATATGAGAATAATAACACTGTCATGCAGTACTTTGAATTGTATAAACATGAATAAATTAAACTGATTACTCTTGATTTTATTTATGCTGCTGTTGTTGCATGTGTTGTCACTTTCAATTACTTTTAATTAAATGTGTTCTTGTGGTTGTCACTGTTCTTGTGGTTGGTGTGTTAAATGTTGAGGTCCATGCGCATCTCGTTTAATTAGACCAGGGGTTTTTAAACTGTTCAGGGAGTCTAGGGACCCTCTTCGGCTGCAAGGGCGTATTAGGGGTCCATAGAAAATGTTAGAAAAAAATAATGTAGTAAATGATTATGTTTCCAAAATTATTACATAATAATAATAAAAGTTAAAAAGTAAAATTTACCTCTTTCTAAACACTTATTCGGAAATCATTAGGTAATAGGGATGTAACGGTACACGTTTTTGTACTGAAATCGTTAGTTTTTTAGTTCGGCATGCATGTGTAACAAATGAATGCAGTGCTGTTTTAATCACTGCACAAGTGGAACTTTGTTGTGTGCTGAATTCTGTTTGCAAATGAGAGTTCCCCCCCCTGGGATGGAACAATAACTTTTATATCAATATACTTTAACGTTACTGACACATCTGAAAAAAATGAAGGACACAGAGTGAGCTCAAAAGTGCATAACCCATTTGTCCTAAAAATGAGATGTGCTTTATATTAAGCTCTTCAAACTACTGTAACCTGCTACAAAGGAGGCTCCCGTACCGCCTCCTCCGCACCACCAGAGGGAACCGTCTCCTGAATATTAACCATTCCCAGTCGGACTCCAATTCCCATCACCCCTCATACCTGGGACTGATTGCCCATCCACACCTGCACCTCCTTTACACACACACATGTAAGCCACTCACACACACAGACTCACTGCGAAGTCTTGATTTGCCCTGGCTATCATTTCTGAGCGTTATACCTGTGTTTGCTTTCTTTGTACTTGATCTTGGAACTTTCCTGTTTATCCGATTGTTCTCTGCCTGCCCTGATCTTGGATTGTTTCACCTGGACTGTGTTTGCTAGCCGCCTGCCCTGATCTCTCGCCTGGTATTCGACTCTGTCTCTGTCCAAGCCCCATGCTGTTCTGTCTTGTCGGTATTTGATCCTGTATTCTGAAATGAGGAAATGTGACTATTCTAAATAAAAGCTGCAAATGGATCCAAACGCTTCTGACTTGTCACAACAGTAACCCATAAGCCTACAGTTTAAAGCCTCTTGCCCTCTTGTCAGAAGCATTTGCTGTTTAATGCTTTTCTGACCTGATTACCTCAGCACATAACTTTTATGGTTTATTTTTATATTCTTGTCTGTAAATGTTGCATAAAAGCTCATCTTAACTGAAAGCAGTTCTATTTAAAACTTCACAGACTTAAGTGAAGGAGTGCTGGTGTGCACACGCACATCAAAAAATGATACATTTTAATAAACATTTTTAATTATTTTGCATCCAAAAGTCAAATCTTTTTCCTCATTTACAATTAGCAGTGTGTTGTTTAATTAAAAGGAAATCATCATTTGGGTCAATGTCATCAAAAAGTCAGAAAATTCTTGATCAGAGTAGTGAAACACTCACTTATTTGCGTAGAGTACTGTAACTCATGGAAGTAATAATGTGAAATAATGTGAGTTGGTATAGTTTTGTCATGTTTTGCTGTCACATGTCCTCGCAAGTTATAAGCATCTTATTTATAACATATTCCTCGAGGGGCCCTCTTGGCACTTCGGGGACCTCTGCGAATGTCTATACTACTTTCAGGGCGGGACGACCCTGATCAGACAGCAGCATTTTTTTCTTAGCGGGCTGACTGACATGCCGTGCTTTATATGCCGTGTAGGTGATGATGAAGAGCTCCTCATTGTTCATTTTTTTCTCCCTTGTGCTGGGGGTGAAATTGTGAGTTGTTGAATTGGGAAAAGGAGACCTCTATGGTCAGTGCATGCTGCTGTGATGTAGACCTGACTCAGCAGGTCACGGCTTTAAAAAATGAAGAGAAACTGAAAAAACAGTGGGAGAGAAAGAGAGGGAGACAGAATGAAAGATTAAGGGACGAAGAAGGAGACCAAGAGAGGCAGCGAGTAAGAGAGATGGCCCTTAGAGTATAAGAACTGCGATGCCGACAAAAAACAATAATATAATGAAGCTGACAAGCCGTCCAATCCTGTGCCAAAGAGTAGACAGCTCTCTCACTGTTTTTGACACCTTTATAACACAGGCTCTTCAGTATTCACCGCCACGCAGGTGTATACACACACTCACACTTTAATCAGCTGAACTCTCCTACTGCACACCAATTAATGCTCGACACAGAGAGGACGAGCGCTCAGATATTCCCAGCTGCAGTAATGTCATGAGGACACTGGAAAAAACTCAACTGCTTATAGTTTGGGTGGCACAAACAAAACTTAAAACGAAACTATATTTGAACAGTTTCTCAAGAAAATGTCAGTGCTTTTTAAATTTTTTTTAGCAAAACTAACTAGCACAGTTGACACTTTTCCTATTATCAGGGTTGGAAATAGTATGGAATTAAACAATTTCAGTTCAGATTTTTTGCAGTTCCGAGTCATTATTGGTTCCATTAACAATTTTTGTAGTACGTTTAATAGAGAAATATTTGAAGAAAATAGAAATAGAAAAATACAAAACGTGAATTTAGTTTTATAATTACTGCCCTCAGTGGAATGCTGCCAAATGATGAGATCAATCAATTTGAACAGGACAAATAAAAAAATACTATACAATTAAAAAATGTGGTAATATTTAATTCATTTAATAAATTTGTTTGTTTGTTCATTTATTCCACAAGAAATCAGACTACAATGGTCACTGTATGTTTTAGATTGATTCAAAATGGGCTTAAAATTCAGTTGTTTAAACTCAAAATTAACAGATCAAAATAATCTTTAATTTGGCAATCAGACTACACTGGTTTTGCTATATATTTCTCACTGAGTGTAGAGGTGTTGCTTAGTAGGAGCTCCATGTAGCACGCAAAAATCATTAATAGAACTGAAGCTCATGAAAATCATTCTGTTCCAGCATTTAAAAAATTATTGGATCCCCAAAATTATGTGCCAACAGGGGACCTCATATAGCAAAAGATATAACCGGGGACCCCATAGAGTCAGATCACTCTGACTATTGGACTTTAACCAGGTGCAAGAACCACTGTACAGCAAAAAACTACAGTACAACTTTTGTACTGCAAAACTATTAGGAGAACACTTCAAGTTCAGAAAATAGGAGTCTCTATTTTAGAGAAAACTGCTGAGGCATGCGACCTCCAAAATTAATAACTGCAATCTACTAGGTCATTGCAATATTTTGAAATACTAAAGCAAGTGAGTGAAACCCCAACAGTGCAATTAACGGATTCATGTAGCTCATTGGTCTTTGAACTAAAAAATAATAAACGTGGTGCAAAGGAGACAGGTCAATTTTTAGATTTACCTTTTGCTTTTCCCTGTACCTCGCTGAGTTATGAAAAGGTTACTGCACTGCAGGACATCTCTGTCCAGAGCTCAGGACTAAAGGTCATTTTGTTATGCTCCCACCGATTAGCTGTCAGTTTAAACACAAATAATCATAAAGGGTAAGCATTCAAAACAACTGGTGAAATGCAAAAGCATGGATGAGGCCACTTAAAACGCATTAAATTAGATGTTAAAATACAACCTGTTGCCAAAGTTATTACCCTGCCAGGCTCATTTATATTGTGAACATTATTTTAAATTCGACCTTTAACTAAAGAATAGCAAAACTCTGCTTTTTCGCCTAAATAAAGGTCATCCTTATAGTGGCAAAAACAGCCTGTTCCACGAAGCTAGTTTCTACTGGTCAGCCAAGTCTGATTTGAGAATTTTAGAGGTTTTCTGGTTAGTCAGGGAGATTTAAAGCAGTTTAAAACAGCTAAGAGCTTTCTGCGAGGACTTAAACAATCCCAGATGAGTGTAGGTTGTTATAATATAAACATTGATTTACATCAATTTACATACAAAGCTTACATAAAAAAAATCACAATATTTTTTATATTTTTTAATTTTAAGATACAAGGCATGGATTTCCTAATTCAATTCTCATTCAGAAACTCCTGATTCAGTTAAATTCTGATTTGATTTAATGGGATAGTTCACCCAAAAATGAAAATTTGATGGGTTTATCTGCTTACCCCCAGGGCATCCAAGATGTAGGTGACTTTGTTTCTTCAGTAGAACACAAACAAAGATTTTTTAACTCAAACCGTTGCAGTCTACCAGTCTTATAATGGCAGTCAATGGGCTCCACGGCTTTGAGAGTCAAAAAAAACATACACAGACAAAACCAAATTAAACCCTGCGGCTCGTGGCGATACATTGAGGTCTTAAGACACGAAACGATCGGTCTGTGCAAGAAACTGAACAGTATTTATATAATTTTTTACCTCTGATCCACTGCAATGTCCAACTGTCCTGAGCATGTTCACAACATCCGGCATGTGACGTCAAATAAATACGGTTGGGCAAAAAATTCTACATTGTCTGATGATATATCAAAATCGTCTTCCATTGTGATGACCAGTGCCAGTGAACACGTCCGCAATCTCTCTGCACTGTGTAAATAATGAGTGACGTATACGCATGACAGTTCGCTTCCGCACATGCGTCTACTATCATAGATATGAATAGATGCCCTATTCGACCGCTCCAGATACGTTGACGGGTCCACCATTTTGGAACGTATCGCAGCCCATAGAAACAGTCACTAATGAGGCATCTACTTATATATATCTATAGCTGTGTCTCATTTAGAAGGCTGCACCCTCCGGAGGTCGAATCCTCTGGAGGTCGCATCCTCTGTAGGATGCATATACGAAGTGTCCTCAACCTAGAATTAAACGAGACGGCCTTCGTAGGACAGGCGGAAAAGGAAACCGGAAGTATCACGTTGCTAAGCCAATACATTTAGAGCATCGTTGCGCTCTCACACTACTTAAATGAAGGAAAATTATTTCTAAATTTGGAAAGTAATTTGAAAAAAAAATGCTTTTACTTGTTATATTTTGTTCAATGTTTGAGGAGCTGCAGCGTGCCTACAGCAGGCATCTATCAGAGAAAAAAAGGTGGAGGATATTAAAAACAAATTTTATCCATTTTTACCGAGGCGAATTAAGGTAAGTTGTAAACACCACATCTGCGCTTGTGTGTACGTTACATCTGCCGACGCTGGCATTTTTCAAATTAACAACGGTTGTTCACGCCGACGCAAAGAATTGTGGGTTATCTGTAGCAGCGAAGGATACACCTCATGCATCCTCCGAATTCCTGTGAAAGAAGGTCGCATTCGAAGGTCGCATTCGGAGTGTCCTACTTGCTTTTCTGAAATGAGACAGCCTCGATGATGTATGCAGCCTTCGAATGTGACCTCCGGAGGACGCAGCCTTCTAAATGAGAGACAGCGAATGTCTACTATGCTAGAGCACGTACACGCGCCAGATGTTGTGAACGCGCTCAGACATTACGGTGGATCAGAGGTAAAAAAATGATATAAATACTGTTTAGTTTCTTGCACAGACCGATCGTTTCGTGTCTTAAGACCTCAAATTATCGCCACGAGCCTCAGGGTTTAATTTGGTTTTTATAGTGTATGTTTTTTTTACTCTTGAAGCCTTGGAGCCCTGATAGACTGCAACAGTTTGAGTTAAAAATCTTCGTTTGTGTTCTACTGAAGAAACAAAGTCACCTACATCTTGGATGCCCTGGGGGTAAGCAGATAAACATAACATTTTCATTTTTCGGTGAACTACCCCTTTAAGTCAATTCATTTTCAGAATATTTGTTATAATCAGAATATCATATCATTTAAGAATGCACTGTAGCACATTCTGGGTTCATTTTTACAATGGTTTTTAGAATTGCAATTTTCAAACTTTACGTTTTGTTCTATATGAGTCAAAATGTAGCTTTTCGACTGAACTGCAGTGCACTTTTTCATGTAAACATGGATACATTCTTTAACAGTTCCTGATTAGTTATGTAATGCAGAAGCATGAATCATTCAAACTCATACAGTATTTCTATTTATGCTTAAAATCTTGAATATTCCTTTTGAACCTTTGTGATTAACACTGTGCATTCAGCAGAACTGTTTACACACAGTAAAGTGTCCCTTGGTGACTATAAAGGTCAATGAATGTGAGGTCTCACATAATTTCTAGTTCGTTAAGCAGCATTATCATCTTCTGAAAAAGAGAATCGTGTGCAAGAGTGTCTGTTTGGACTTAACGATAATTTCAGGCAACGAGCGAATCCCAGTTGAGAGCTATGAAATATTCAAAGCAACCTACTACTGCAGTGTCTGTGGCTGGAGATAAACTCACCAAACGTGGGCTGTGACCACGCCAGCAAGTCCAGAGGCTCCTCTGTCACCGCCATTAATAAAACATTAGCCTAGAAGGCACACTTTCGGAGGGAAGTAGCCTCACCTGTGTCGCCTATAAATCCAGGTCTGTCCGTGGTGTTCAAATTAGGTAAAGTGTGTGTGTGTAGGGGGTAGGGGAGGTTTGAAGTTGGGAACGAAGAGAAGCAATGAGTGCCAGGAATGAAGCTTTGAAAACCTGATGTGTGGGGGTGAAACTTAAGTGTGCGTCCCATTTTAGCAAGCTTTAATGCAGGCCTGGAAGTCATTACTTCCCAAAGAAAATGTGTTGAAACTAAATTCTCTGAGGTTCTTCCAGGTGAAGTAGCTGTTTTTACAGGGAGCTCTAGGAACTGTGTCCCTTATGGTGCAGCTAAAAAAAAACATAGTTAGCTATCAAATGCAAAAACATTAGGCCAACATGTTCTTCAATGACTTTGGTTTCAGGTAAATTCACTGTAACTGAATTCTGTGACTCAGAACAAGTTTATATATAAACAGTCTGTAGCACAAATGAACATTTGTCAGTCAGTCAGGCTTGTTGGCATATTGGCAGCTGACACTGCAGGAACATCAACTCTATTCCCTTACCCTTTCTCCTGTTAAATGCCCTGTTCATTCTGCAGAGCTTGAGAAGTGCTTGTAAGGTGAGGACGGACTCCAACGAGAAGCCACCTGAAGAAAAAGCACAGAGAAACAGTTTACCTCTAGCTTATCGGTAGCTTGTGGTTTACATCTTCAGCATTTGCATCCGTAATTAAAGTCAATGGAGGGCACAGTTTTAGTATGACTGCAGCTTTACACTGAGCAAGTACACACAAAAACAGCCAAACAATTGACCCTTCGCAAAGAAAGCCCCCCCCCCTTAGTAACTGTCACTATGTCCAACAAACTATGGCGCTCTCACGCCACACATCATGTTCTCACACAGTGAAAAATACATTGCACAACAAAGAGGAAACTGACATTAGGTATAAAACAAAGTCTCAGCTTTCAAATTTGGTCATTTTTTAAGAAATATTCAAACAATAAATATTGTTATGTGGCTCTTAAATATGTCTTGACAGATTGGGCCTCATGATCATCTCTTCCAGTTTACTAGTTATAGCACAAAATAAACATGAATGATCATCAGAAGGTATCTTGTTTCAACCACAGAAAGGCGTCAATACATAATATTTTTCAAGTTCAAGTCCACTGACGTTTGTTTGTCGGACAAAATGGCAAATTCTGCATAGATTGGTTTGACCGCCTGTCAATCAAACACCCAACTACCAATTTAAAAGTTACACAAGTGGAGAACTTAGTGCCCTTCGGTGACTATGGCAGAACTATGCCCTGTGGAGGTTGTAGATTCAGTCCCAGGTAGGATGATCCAGCAAGTACTGAGTTACTGAGATTACAAACCTGCAAATTCCTTTACACCCTTAAGCAAGACACTTAACCCCAGGGAGAGTTTGCTACAGCAAGAATCTCCTGCCAATTAGTGCAGTATATGTCACTTACGCTTTGAGTGCTGGATGACAATCCTGTGCAAAGCTGACTAAAAATATTTTATACCTGCTTAAAAGTACATCCTGGCATAGTTTGCTCAGAGTGTTGAAACAGGATTTCTGTGGTTCAGAATATAGCCACCCTTAGTCATATAGGTGACGTCAATTCCTACTTTTGCTGTGGAGTGTTCGCTTGATGTTGAGTCGATGAGTGAGATGACACAGAAGTACGCAAGATCAAAGCTTCAAAGAAATGTTGGAGGCTGAGGCTGTCAAAAACATTGAACCAAACACATTCAATATCAAAAAGGAAAATTCCTCAGGGCCGATCCTTTTGCATTAGAACAAATACACCTCAGAGACCCCACACAACTGACGTACCGTATAATCTCACCAAGCAAAACATATTGTCTTTTTCTTTTAACCCTGGAAAGCCTGACATAGAAAATAAAATTTAGAAAAATCTATTTTTCTGAAATGGAACAGTTTATTGAACCTTTAGACAATATATATATATATATATATACTGTCTATAGACAATACACACACACACACACATACACACACATACATACATATATAAATATATATATATTATATATATGTATAATACTTTGCCCATTTGTTTTTTTTTCAGTATTATGTTTAATAAATCAGGCTTTTATGGCTAATAAATAAATATACCTAAGTACACCTCGATTTTATTCAGATGTAAAAATCGATTTGTTGCAGAAGCTGATATTTATATGGCCAAAAAGTAAGATGAAACTTTGACAGCTTATAATGTGAATCAATAAGATCTTTATAATTTTGTAGAGGACTACTGGCATAAATAATATAAATATACTATAAATATAATTATGAATATTATTATATAAATATTGTCACTTTGAATCTCTCAATAATGTCTCAGTAAGATGATATTTAAGTGCCTAGTTTTATAATCAAAGCTCATTACATATAATGCAATGTAATAAATTATAACTGAGAGATGTACAAATAAACATTCCTCAAAAACCTGATTTGAGGATATCCTCATATTTTAACATGATTTTTATTTTAAAAACAAAAAAAGGACAATCAAGTAAATTTGAGTTGCATAAATCCAGTAAGTGTTCATCTTGAAATATTAATAATATTTCCAAATAAAAATCAGTAAAGACTTCACAGCAAAAAGAACGATGTACTGTACCATGACCTGAAGGGGGCTTTTTTTTTTTTTTTTTACAATTATACAAAAAAAATTGCTAAAAAGTATAAACTATCAATCCGATGACAGAGAGCATGTATTAGATAGTGTACAACAGGTTTTTCCACAATGTTTTGATCATTGGAATTGGATCATTGGAATTTAGAGGCCTTAGAAATTTGCCTATCAAATATGATACAGAAGGCTTTATAGGACTAAGGTTGAACACTGCAAAGACAACAATGCAATCATCAGATTCAGTGCCATCTCTACTGAAAGCTTTCAGCATTTCAGTTGATTTGATTTGATGCAAAGCTTCCAGAGCATTCTGATGGTGCTGTGCCACGTTTGGCTCGATCGCTCAATGACAGGAGCAGGAGTCAAGTGGCTTCTATGAAGCCCTGAACAACAGGGAAACACATCACTTCCTTTTATCAGAGTCAAAGCTTTGCTCTCTGTCTGAACTGCAGCGCAAAAGACCCTTAGCTCAAAATACTTCATCTTGCGCCAGCACTTCAGCCCGTCAATCAAGAATCGTCCTCAGAGAAGGGAATGGAAGAATGAGAAAATATCGGAAATAGAATGTGCAGAAGAGAGAGGGCCAATTTGACAGCTTGCATTCAGGAAAGTTGCTAAGCCTGAGTTTTCCTGCTTGAAGTGCTGCTTAATCTTTCATTTCTGACAGTCTTCCATTTAGGGTGAATGTGAAAAAAATGATGTGATCTTAGAAAAAAATGAGAGGGAAGAGCAACATGTTAAAAATATGTATGAAGTGATACATTAAAGAGGCCACTCATGCATTTAAGGAAGGATTAGTTTAATGAGACACAAGGATTTATTACTCTTGACTGAGCATGACAGCCTGTGTCTTAAAATGGCACATATAATCTCACAATTTTGACACGAGGCAGAAAGGACTTGAAGCGTGGTGACCTTTCCAAGTTCAGAGGTTTAAAGATAGCACATGAAAAAAATAGAAACTCTAAAACTAGTTGCTGCACATTTTACATGGTCTTAATGGGGTCATATGATGTGCTTTCAAGTTTTCCTTTCTCTTTGGAGTGTTACAAGCTGATTGTGCATAGATAAGATCCCTGAAGTTGCAAAGACTAAAGTCACAAACCCAAAGAGATATTCTTTATCAAAGTTAAGACTCTGCCACGCCCCCCTAAAACGGCTCGTTCTAACATGCCCCCACATATCTACCTCACTATGTGGAAATATTTGCATAATGCTGCCCAAATGTGCACACAAAGAATGAAGGCGTGGTTTCAGTAACCGCAGTTAGTGTTGAAGCAGCCATGTCAGGGAGACGCTGTGTGTTTCTAGGTGAAAGCACTTTATTTGGCCTTCCGAAAGTAGATGCATTTAGGAATCTTTAAGATTACTTACAACAGAACAGCAATGCATTTTATGGACGACCGTTTCGTGAACCTAGGAGAGGAGGTAATTCTGACTTTGCTATGACAATCTGGCGCTTCTGAATCAGCTACTGTTTTGTTATTAGTTGAAATATTTGCTATTGACTGTTCAAATGCGGAGTTCACCCTAAAGCAGAGTGGAAAATGTCTAGACACTGCAGCTAGGTTACTGCATAAATTCGTTTACATAGTTTTATCCAAACCAGACGTCCTTAATTACCTATTTAATAGAAAAAGACAAACACAATCCATGAGTTGTATGCCTGGTAAAGAAAAAAGAAGTCAATAACCATCTGTGTGTATGCATAGGGCTCCAACATTCAGCTTCTGCTACCAACTATTAATAAATCAGGAAAAGGAGTTTTACATTACAGATATGGAGACCAAAAGGGACGTGCTGCTTCGTGAAGCATATAATCTCATTATCAGGACTGTTAAGAAAGCCAATTAGAGTGTAAATCAGCAGACGGGATAATTCAGAGTTGAATATGCAGCAAGATGTCTTGCTGTATTAGTAGAAACACAGAGAAGGGAATCTCAAACAGTTTCAACGAAATGCAAACTCTTTGTGCAGACAAAAATGTTTCAGGGTGCAGATCATCCTTGTAGTTTGCATTGCACACTATTGATTGATACATATTTGCAATATACAAAAGGTTGAAATTTTCCTTTGGACCTGGCGTGCAGAATATCAAGAATTTTTCATATGAAGGAGAAGAAATGATTGGTAAGGTAGCAAACATTGTGACACTTTACTGTAGTCCTAATGAATTGGTCAGTGGTACAGTGGATCTACAGTGTATCAATGAGCCATACTGGCACGTTTCTAGGGTCCCAGTGTATAATCGAACACACACCAAGAGGCCCATCAGTGTTGTTCAGGTCTCATGGGCAGTGCCTACACTTGACAAGACAAAGCACTCTGGAATAATGAAGTAGGTTCATAAATCTTAGCTGGTGACTTGGAGCATGCGTTCAATCCGTTTTTATAATTTTCCTCTAATCTTCATGGCTGTTTCTGCATGATAAGGACTTTCCCTGGTGAAATACTGCAACTTCTCCAGTCACTTAAAATATGCCCATATTTTACTGTCAGGCATTGATTTCTGAGGGCCCGTTTCCTCTTCCCTATGTGCAGCGGTAAAGCAGCTCAAGGACAGACTAAAGTAATTTCAGTCATTTGGCTTGTTTTTCGTCAAATAAATTAGAATGAGCAAGAGGCAGCAGGAGAAAGCAAAAGCAAACTGATGAATCTGATGTTCAAGTGGTCCCGTCAAAGTTGATTGAGCTAAACACCCCAGCTGAGGCCCATCAGTGTTGTTCAGGTCTCATGGGCAGTGCCTACACTTGACAAGACAAAGCACTCTGGAATAATGAAGTAGGTTCATAAATCTTAGCTGGTGACTTGGAGCATGCGTTCAATCCGTTTTTATAATTTTCCTCTAATCTTCATGGCTGTTTCTGCATGATAAGGACTTTCCCTGGTGAAATACTGCAACTTCTCCAGTCACTTAAAATATGCCCATATTTTACTGTCAGGCATTGATTTCTGAGGGCCCGTTTCCTCTTCCC